AAGTTTGAACTCGTTCTGATGTTTATTCAGTAAATAGTGAACGTTTTAATATTAGGTGAAAACAGCCTGAAAACGCAAATTTTCGTAAAACTTGCTTTTCGGTAGATTTTTAGATTTTTTTCTAAAAGTAAATATTGCCACGAGGCTCAGCATGATCGATTACCTATAGTCCATCTGTTTTCCAGGCTACCAATATATTGGTAGCCTGGAAAACAGATAGACTATAGGTATAATAATAGGTAGCAACAGATGGACTATAGGTATAGTAATAGATAGCATCCAGCTTTGCCCCAAGAGCGTTCGAGATGTTATACACTATATGGCGCAGTTTCTTACGCTGACTCTGAATAAGATTTTGTATGGAATAAACACGTTTCTGAATCGAGAAGAATATGAAATACGTGAAAAACCATGGTTTTTTCGAAAGCCTCCTGTATGGTCCAGGAACATTTGCGCTAACTATGGTGAGAGAGGACATATGGGAGAACATTCTGGCAAAGTTTGAATAAGTTTCAATTTGGGCGCTGGAGGGGGCGATCATTTTTAGGGGTGTTAATTTAGTGTTACTTTGGAAAATAAATGTAAATTAATCATTTATACTTAAAAAATAAACATAAATAAATGAAAAAAAAAATTATCTTTATTTTATAAAAGTAAATGATTCCTTTATATTTATTTATTTGTACCTTTATTTTTAAAAATAAATAAATAAAGATAAATGGATCATTTACTTTTATAAAATAAAGATAATTTATTTTTTCATTTATTTATATTTATTTTTAAGTATAAATGATTCATTTAGTTTTATCCATTATTATAAATGAAAAATAAAACTAAATTAACACCCCTAATCATTTTACTAATATAGCCGTCTGGAAAAGCCCTGTAGAAAAAAAGAATTTTTTTCCTCAGAAGTCTTCAGTAGTAATTGACCACTTTTTGTTTTATAAATCGGTAGCGGACATTAGGCAAATTTATAATATATATTGTTTTTGGTGGTCACGTCAGTGTATTTTGTAAAAAAAATGTGTGCTATTTTCCACTCTACTTGAACTTTGTAGTAAAACTTTAAATGCCATTAAGTAGTCCATAGTCTGAAGTAAATCTAGCACTAATTGAATCTTGCAAAAGTGCACTTTCGATTTTTCACCTAATGTTCACCTGGTTGCCCATAGTGTGTGACACTATATTATATATTGTCACTGAGAATACACCAAGCCCAGCAAGCCCAGGAAATAGTCTCTTTTTGAGAATACACTGCGTACTGATATTCTGACATCTCTACAATAAAGAAGTATATAAAATGTCAGATGATGTGATATGTTTCCCTGACGACGGTATTATATAACATGTACATTATTAGTTAGTAAATATGTTGATATTCTTTTCAAACTCTAACTATTAACTAGATTGCTACATCATTATATGATATGTACAATTTCCGCGGTGTAAATCGTGTTTTCTGGTCATATAGATAAACCAAGATATATTACATGCTTATTTATACTAACGAGATTTCTCAGTATAATTCTGACAAAATCCTGTATATAAGAATTCATAGTGTTTGGTAGGTTTCCTAGTGTAAGCTATGCAGGGTTCAGATGATGGATATCCTACAAGAAGTGCCACACCATCCTACAATAGAAATCACATGAGTTTCTATGATAAGATTATCCGCATCCATTTCATAGGATCCTAAAATGATTTCCTGTGTTTTGTAAGATCCCATACGATGCAGGGTCATTCACTTTCTATATGGTCAGATGCTTTAATTATGTAAATAAAAGTTGGTATGCTAAATTATCAAAACCTTATGAATTCTTCTAAACTAATTATATAATTTCTCTTGCAGAATTTTTATATTCCTTCGTATAAGAATCTTATCAATATTCTATACATTTCCATCGACTGCCTTATATAAGATTCTTAGAAGATTTCTATAATATCTGTGTAGAATTGCCCAAAGTTTGGTCGCCCAGGACTATTGATCAAATCAAAATTTTTTTATCGATCAAAATATGTTTTCTGTACGTAAAATGTTTGCTCTATTCAGTTCAGGTGAAGAAAACAATACGATCAACATTTAAATAACATATTTTGAACATGTTCCAACAGATTTCTGCTACAGAAAAAATAAATAACATACTGAAACGTTTGAGTATAATCTAAAACTTCATTCTACTCAATGAATACAATAAAGTCAAAACAGAATGTGACTGTATCAAACTTATTGATAGTGAACATATATTTTCGTCGGTCATCAACGCTCTCGAAGAAGAAGATTATGATAAAGTGAGTGACCGTATCACCATGATGTTAAAACGCTATGGCCAATTGAGAATTTACAATGATCCAGAAATTGGTGCTATTTTCATCAAAATCAAGCATGTGAGATGTCAAATAGACAACATCAACACCCAAATTCGTGAATCGCAAGCTACGATAAGACAATATCTATCTAACAGATTAAACAGCGGTCTTATTGAAGAGCAAATCTGTATAACAAAAAGAAAATATTACCATGTTCGAATCAAAAGATTAAAGAGAGAACAAAGTGAATGGAAACCGTCCTTTATCCTTGATATGGATTATGCAGAAGCAAAAGAAGGTTACATGAGAGCTGAACAAGAATATCACAATGTGAAAATGCGCAATGAAAAAGAAAAAGTTCAGTATGAAAAACTGTGTTCAAAAGACAACGAGACAAGCGGTGACAAAAACGAGGGTGATTCAAAAGAAATTTCCTCAGATTATGATGCAAAATTCTCTCTAACTGAAGAAGAAAGAAATCGTATGAAACAGCTATATCATAAAACAATACTAAAATGTCATCCTGATAAGTTTATTGACGAGATTCAAAAGCAACAGGCTCATGCAATATGCAGACAGTTAACGGAAGCGTTCCGTGAGCAAAATTTAGCACAAATAGAACTGATCGCTGAGAAAGTAGAACAGGGAATATTGAACGTGGAAATACCAAAGCAAAATGTAAAAGAATTGCTGCGTCTTGAACTGCGTGAAAATATCGAAATAATGAAGGAAAGGACCAGTGAATTAGAAACGATTCAACATGATTATGTGTTTAAGGTAGTATTAGTCCAATATAGGAATCTTGACGAATATTTTGCTGAGAAACACAAGCAATTGAGAGAAGAATTAGACGAATGGAAACAAAATTTACGCGAAGAAGAAGAAAAAAACGAACATAAAAATGTCAAAGCATAGCCAGTGTGCGTAAAACTTTTTCTGGATGTTTCTTTATGTAAAATATAATCCAGTATAAAATAAATTTTCAACTTTAAATAGTAGAACAATCATTATAATACATAGGTATCTAGGAACACATCAGAACATCAGCCGGAAGAAAAGTATGAACAAACACAAGAAAAGTAAACGCAACAGTAAAGAAAACATAACACTCTAATACAGGACAGCACCAGTTTATCGAGGAAACTTCGGAATGTATGTTCTAAAACATTTTTGATCCGAACTTGTAATTTTTCATAAAAATTATTCCTGCCTTTTGGGATTTCTTGTCTCCAATAAAACTACAGATTTTTAATAAATAGATATGATTCTACCGTAGTTTGTTAGAGAATATCAAATCGTACATCTGAAAACATTTTCTTCACGAGAGCGTTCTCTAAGATTACTTTGCTTTTAAAATCGTGCGGTTAAAAAATGTGTATTCATTGATTTTCAGTTTTGAGTGAAAATCTCGCTGATTTTTCAACGTCAAAATTCGACAAAAATTGAAGTGGTTCTATCGAACATTGAAGTGGCTCTATCGAACCATGTATAATATAGCCAAAAATAAAAGTGCTTAAATTTCGAATTTAGTGCGCCTTACTTCGAAGTATTCTCTACAAATTGAGAGAGTTTGAACAAAACCCAACTTAAGTCTACATGTATTTATTGTTTCACTGTCTCTGTTCTCATTGTAAGAGAATTTTTTTATGTTGTATCATAACTTTTGTAGTTGAAAATTCATTTTAAAATGAAAAGTGTTTAAAGCTGCTATTAATTTGACTTTATTTATGCTGAAATGTTGACCTATTACATTACTCAGTTATGATACAATCGTATTTTCTTGAGTTTTAAAACGTTCACAATAGATTGTATCAAGTAAACATTCTCAAATGTCATCGTCATTCATTAACTCAACGTCAGTTTTCCACTTATAGCCAAATTAGTGGATAACAGCATTTCCCTAATACGTTAATAGTCGTTATTCATAGAAAAAGATTTTGTTCCATTATTTATGAACCATCCGTTAGTTACTGACTATCATAATGATCTGGGATATCCAAAACATGTGAAACGGAAAGGACAAATATTACGATATCTTCTGAAGAGAGCTGGGACTATGGTAGAAAAGCTCGATGAACTGCAGAGAACATGTCCATTGTTTGATAAATAGTTTGTTGCTTGGCTCTGGTTTCGTACGATATTATCATTCGGACGACTAACGACTCTTCCATTGCTTCGGATTACTTCATGAATATTCTTTACAACAAGGATATTCATTTCAATTGCTCAAATTATTTTGATGCGTGAACACAAATTCTAATGAATGACTCAAATTAGAATAAAAACTATTAACAGAGAACAAGCAACCGTAGGTGAGAACGAAGTTAAAAATTTAGGATTAAACAATATTCATGATGAATACCGTCCAATCAAAGATTATCTTTGGATAATGTTTTTTTTCATAGGGTTAGTTTTGAGTACGAATAGTAGAGCTTTAACAGCAGCGAATAAACTCATTCCAATTTTATTTCGAGCTGTCACAACCTATGGTTTCATTATCAAGAAATCTAAAACATTGAATCAAAATCAACAAGACTAACAGATTAAAGTGAAATTGAAGTACAGGAAAAACAGAAGACTGAATCATATTTAGTATAATAAACACGTGTAACTGTACACTAATGCGTATAAAGAAAAGATAAATTTTGACTATCGTAATGTTGTCAATTCTATTTTGACTTTTGTCTGTTCTTTTCGATTAAGAGAGACAATACCTTCTGGAAAAATAGCCAGAGGAATAGATCTAGTTGTGGAATTTAGATCTGGAATACGTACTATTGTTTGTAACGACTCGTTGTAACAAATTGTCCAATGGTTATCCCGTTCAATTCATTGAATTGAATTGATTAACTAAAGACCCGAAAAAAGAAACAGTAACACCAAAAAACAAAACTCACGAACTGATTGTAGTAGATATACCATATACAGGACAGACCACCAAAGTATTTAGTAAAAGGCTGCGATCTATAGCGAGAAGAGTTCGTCCTGATATTAAAATTTTAACTGTACCAAGATCGCTTCCGACAGTACGACAAAATTTTCAAAATAAAGATCAAATTACAAAACATGTACAATCAAAAATAGTCTAGCATTTGAAATGTGATGACTGCTCACCTGCATATATTGGAAAGACTGTAAGACAAGCGCCGAGACGATTTGAAGAACATGGATATAAAACAGAGATTATTCAAACTCCTATGATAAATAACCTTCTGACTACTACGATAAATACACAAGACTTAAGACATTCAAAAAGACACAGACAAAAACCAGATCATTATGGATTTGATAAAGAAAAAGATATAGCCGAGCAGGAGATGGGGGATAATCATAATCTAAATTTAGATGATCATTGCGATTCTAAATCTGCAGTCTGTAAACATGAACGGGAACAAAATCACCATATAAAATGGCAGGATTTCAAAATTTTTTCGAAAGACACAAACGTCTATTAATTAAAGAGTCGTTACAAATAATAGCACGTATTCCAGATATAAATGAACAATGCGGACATAATGAGCACGTACATACACGTACGACATATTGAACAAGCTTTGCTAATGCGGGTTTCTTACTATACATGGTATTGTTGAAGAATCATATTCTTTTTTTATTTTCTCTCCGTCAATGTAATAACAGATACATGTAGACTACAAATGTATAATCAACTTGCCTGTGTTACAGTAGTGTTCTTTTACAAAAAGAAAGAAAAGTTATTGAGGATCGAATATTTTATTGGTTACGTGTAAGTGGCTAAAATTTTCCAGTTTTTCTCACAATATTACAGTTGTAAGAACTAGAAAATATACAGAAATATAAAAATTTTAAATCTTTACGCTATGTTTCCAAGATAAGCAGATGAAGTGTCAGGAGACGATCCGCGATAGAATCGAGAATATGGTAGTTGAAGAAATCCATAACTTTTAAACAAAATATCATACTTTTTAGCTTTTAGGAGCTGAAGCTTAAGATAAATAATGCAATTTTCAAATTAATTTGAAGATTTTATTTTGAGTAAAAATGTACCATAATACTAATCGTACTGGTACTCATTGTACCTGACTTTTTAACACAATCCTGATGCTTTAGATTAATATACTGTAGCTCATTTTGTAGAAAACTAAATTCTCTACAAGACAGACTAATCAACCCAAATAACCAGTAGTTCAAATGACCGTTCATTTTAGTCAAAAAATAGAATATCATTTAGTTTAAAACTTAACGTTTAAAGGAGGAGGGCCGATAAGCCGATCATCCCGACCAAACCAAATCACAATAAAACTTACATATTTGGAATCAGCATCGAATTCTGAGTATTTCTGCTGATTTACTTTTTCGAAAATGTCACTTTGAA